GCAGAGATTGGCCGGGAGTCGAGAACAGGAGCAAGGGGGCAATGCTGAAAGATTTCAGTAGATCTTGAGGTGGCCGACCACCGGATCTACACGCCGGAGTGGCTCCCCGCCGGCGGTAGGCACTCTCATGGATCGATCTTTGGCTTTTCTCCTCGGCAAGAACCCTAGGTGGGAGCCGAGAGGGATAAGCGAGAGGGGGGCGAGAGGGGGAAGACTGAGGAAGAGTGTGGAAGAGTGAGGGAAAGCGGCGGACAGGGTGGGCCCCGAGGTGGCTTTTCTCATCGGCGTGGGGAGGGCGACCGACCGAGGCCACGCGAAGGGCGACCCGGCTGGACCCCGGTCGGCGGCTAGCGCGCGTGCTGCGTGGACCGGGTGCGTGCACCGGCATCGCGAGGGAGGTGTGCGTGTGTGAAGCATTTTTCTGGATCAGCGGCGAGAGTGCGAGAGGGGTGAGGACATGGTCTATCGGTGTTTGGTTGGTGAGAAGCCGCCGAGGAAGTGAGTTGTTTATAGTTGGTTCCTTTGTGCGATGATGACGGTGACAAAGTATTCTTGTCGTGAGACCAACTCGTTTTTTAAGGAAAATTTTCATTCCGTTCGTCGATTCAGGGAGGATTTGGTTTTCTAGAGAGAGAAGAGATGATTTTAATCTTACTTTGGAATTGTTTGCTTCTTCTTTTTTACGGGAGTTGTTTGCTTCTTAATGTAGTACGTATAATTTGCCCCATCTTACCTTAGGGCTTTGATATGAAATTCTTCTCTTTTTCCAGAAATAATAATTGATCGTCTCTTTTCGTTTGCTCGACCCAAACCGAATCAATCCATCTCTTCTCCCCCGGTTCAAATGATGAACCCTAGTTTTCAGTCGTTGCTCGTCCATGTCGTTGATGGTCGGTACCGCTTCTCATAATGAGAAGCATGCCATGAGGAATGAAATTAGAGACTTGGATCATTGTGTTAAGGAGTTGTAGAAAAGCGAAGATATTTGCGCTAGATTGGTGGTTTGTAATTCCATTTTTTTTCCTATTTTAGTGCTTTCAGTGATGCTTGTGAAGCAATGGTAATGCAATTTGGGAACACGCGTGTCCGCTGATCATTTTCGCAAATCCAGCTGGAATAGAAGTGCTTCACGCAGTGAAAGAAAGCTTCAATAAGTTTACCATACGCTGGTCGGTGTGGAGATGTGAGTGGAGAGCGAGTCCTTGTTCAGAGTATAGCTATCTTTAGGTGTAGGGCTAGCTAGGTATATAGTAATGCTTGCCTTTGGGGTATTTGGTGATGTGCTGAACTGGGGCTATTTTTCGGCGCTTGCGAGCGTCATGTAGTGGTGGTTTTCTCCTCCTTCGGTCGTTCTCCATGGTGGATGGCGATTGTTCAAGAGGGATGCGATGGAAGCTCTGCAAGAAAGACTCGTCAGTGCTCCATATCGGGTTGTCTTGGCCTTCCTTCCCTCAGTTTTTGCTACCATGGGTTTGGACGAAGAAAGGGAAGCGAATTCATTTCAGAGTAACCATTGGTTATATTCTCACTCAATTAGTGGTCATTGGTTTTTGAAAATTCAATTTCTCTTGTACCTAACCTAACGGCCATCTCCTGAAATGCCTTTGTCATAGCATGGACGACGTGTCACCTTATTACTCTATTTGATAACAAAAGGGATTCTTCTACGAACACCGATCGACTCCAAAATACTTGGCTCCGACACGAGCTCGCAAACAAGCCGAAAGAGAAAACTAGGGATAGGTGTGGGGAAAAGAGCGGGAGAAGCGTGGGCCCACGTGGGCGGGCATTAGTGACTTTTTAAATTCAATTTCGGAGTAACCGTTAACTAGATCCGCGCGCTTACCTAATGGTCGTCCTTTTCAAAAATGCATTTCCTTCAGGGCATATGTTAACAATCATCTCTTCAAAAAGCTTTTAACGTAACTTTGACGACATATTGTCTCACTCTATCTGATAACACAAAAGGAATGATCTTTTGATATCAGCTCTGGAGTCGAAATACCTAGCACCGACACATGTTTCAAACAAGTTGAAAGAGGAAATGATGAGAAGGTGTGGAAGTAGGGGAAGTGTGCGATTACGTGGCAAAAAATTGCGACCTTAAGAGTAACAATTGATTGAACTTGCGCACTTCACCAACAAGTCATCGGTTTTAAAAAATACAATTTTCTTCCGAGCAGAAGTTAAGAATCATATCTTCAAAAGAACTATTTGTTGTAGAGGATAGTCCATTAATATGTTTGGATTAGAAGGTTTGGTTTGCTATTTTCTATTTTCTAATATAGTGCACTTGCTTACGTGTGCTTTTTTCCTACCCTTGTGCGATGAGTTGCTTCTATTTCCAATTTTGCCCGTCTCAATCCTTGATTGAAGGCCTTGTATCCACACTGACACAACTAAAAATTCTAATGCATGCTCTACCTTGCACCTGACCACCTGACTAGCAAAATGACGTATAGTAATGTCATAGCCGTGACCTGAAACGAAGGCACAATAGAAAATGTAATAAATTTAGCAAGAGAGGGGCTAGAGCTGAAACAGGCGGATGCCCCTTCCTCTCTCTTTGAAATGGTCTATAATTACCTGCTTCATACAATGTTTTCATCATGGTGTATATTGTGTTTGTAGGGATGCAAGTTAAGCAAGAAATATGGATGTGTAATAGTAAAAAAAGTCAAGGTAAGTCTAGTATAACTTTACATGCCACTATACATCACTGGATAATAACCACATGTTCTTATAGAAAGAAGGTAGGCAGGAATGAAATAGTAGCATGGATGTGTGTCATCTTACCATATATGATGTTCTAAGAACACCATTGGACCTTGCACCGACGCTTGATCCAAACAAAGTCGAAAGAGGAAACAAGTGGAAGGCACGTGAAAAGTCTAGGACAAGTGCATGACTATTTGACGAGTGCTTGCCACCTTTCAAACTTAAGAGAAGACGTTGGTTGAATTCGCACTTTTATCAAATTGTCCTCATTTTCCAAAAAAAATAATTCTTTTGAGCAGAAGTTAACTATCATCTATCCAAACCTATTTTTTGTGTTTTGGATGGTGTGTCATCTTACCCTATAAAAATGACGATGTTCTAAGAAACTACTCGACTTTGAGTGCCTAGCACCAACACAAGATCCAAACAAAAACGAAGGAGGAAACAAGTGTAATGCACGGGAAGACCGCGAGAATTATGGAAGTTGGGACTGTTTGGTAGGCATTTGCAATCTTTCATACTTCAGAGAAACCATTAGTTGGATCCGCGCACTTAACCAATGGTCGTCTTTCTTAAAAAATACAGTTTTTTTCGAGCATAAGTTAACAGTCGTCTCTTCAAAACACCCTTTTTCATGACTTGGATGGCATGTCATCTTACTATATCTAGAATGATGATCTTTTAAGAACACTAGATCATGAATGGCGCGCGTTGCTGCGCCCGTCTATTTGTAATACTGAATGTTAGTGTTTGATACAAATAT